ATACACACGTATATTTGCTTTTTAAACCTTATAAAACTTCATACACAGCACTCTGTATGAATAATTTACACTCTTATGTTTACTTTCTGTACAGGCGGTTAACCGACCATTAATAATTATTTTATACATGTCGTTATATGTACTAATGTTTACACGCAGAGCCTTTTATAAGATTGTTTACTCATTGATAACTATAGTGGGTTTTTTTTATACTGCTTTTATTATTTCTAAGTGGCTTCCTAAATACTGCCACTATTGAGGTGTCTTCATAAATAGTAACGGTATCACGTTTTTGACGCACGTTTAGATACCAGAAATGATAAATGTTGAGCTTTTTATCATGCTTTAACTATTCCGTCTTTGCGTATTGCAGAGTTATCTTCTCTTGGGAGCAGGTATTGATTGTTACGTCATTGGTTTGTGCGAGAAAATTACGTCGTTTTCTCAAAAATTGATGACGTTACTCTCACAAACAAGTGACGTAACAATCAATACCTGCTCCCAAGAGAAGATAACTCTGCAATACGCAAAGACGGAATTCGTCGATGCAAGCATACCTTTAATTAAGAGGCACCATACAGTTTCAATGTAGTATAATGTCGAGACACTGATAAAACAGAACAATCAGGGACAGTTTAACAACGGTGAACATCTTTGATAAATAGGTACTAAATATAAATTGATTTCGTCCGTTTTTGTGATGATCTTTTAGATTTTAGAACAACGCAATGAAGTTATAAACCTGATATTTTTCAAGTTGAAACATCGGTTAGGAAAGTAACCTGCAGTTAAACTGGGAACAGGCGTGTGCAGGTACCGTGAACGAATGGGAAATGTGACTCCCTTGAGGTGAATTTATAGAACGGTGTTATATCAGCATTGTCGCTCTGATCTAACTTGCTATGCACTGTTAGCTTAGTTTTCAAAATATAATCAGTTGAAGACATGTCATTAACATTTCAACAATATGCATTAGCCTATTGTTTCTCTTATCTATCTATCTATCTATCTATATATTCTGCATCACCTCTTTAAATAAACACAGTCTGCTTTTGGATCTTCTGTGTGCTAATGTTTGCCAACCCAGACTCCCTAACATGTCTGTTACACTGTCCAGAGGGGGAAATTTGCCAGACACCCAACTAGCTGCTCTGCGCTGGACCATTTCTAGATGTTAACTTTGATATTGGGTGTATGGGTCCCAGACACAGGCAGAATATTCTAATTTAGGGCGAACCAGTGCCGTGTACGCTGCAGCCTTTACCTTTTTGTCTTTCACCTTGATGTTTCTTTTTATATATCCTAAAGTTCTGTTGGCTTGGCTACTTACATTTTGGATGTGTTGTTCCAGGTCAGGTTTGATGATATGGTGAATCCAAGGTATTTTGCATGTGGAATAGTTTCGAGTACTTGTCCGTGTAGCATATACTCTGTGGGGATTTGCGTCTTTGACCTGGATATGTGTATTACCTGGCACTTGCTCCTTGTGCCTTCCTCATACTTACTTAATCATCATTTCTGTTAAGTGTCTTGCTCACTATTTATATAATCACTATTTTTCTTTAAGTGTCTTCCCAAATATTATCGTTTACACTGTTTTCTGAAGTGTCTTCCTCAAAAATTACATTAACAGTATGTTATGTAAATGTCTTCCCCAATAATAAAATTTCGTATTTTCTGTATGACTATTCATAATAATACGAAGTTGTAAGGTGAATCATTTTCATTTAAATTAAAAGCTATTATAAACAGTCATACATGAAGTTCTAAAATTTGTAATGACACCATCATGTGCGGAAGCTAAACTACAATGTATAGAGCAAAATATTAGGACACCGTCTAATACACAATTTGACAATGTGAATTACCTTCAAGTAATATTTAATTTGTTCTATTTTCCCAAACAGTTATTTTGATTCACAGAAGATATTAACGATAGAATAAATTTATTCTCATGATGTGTAAGTATGATGGTATTTTTATTGGTTTTTCTGAACAAATGCTTGACTATTTGAATTATATTCATTTGAATTGTTTATTGCGTAGCCAGTACATCAGTCTTGACACGTTATATTTTCAGTAATTTTCACCCAGTGATATTTAAAACATTTCCCCAAAACAAACTATTTAAAGTATAAGTAGATAATAGACTGACATCACCCATTTACTAGTTCTGTATAATGAAGACTTTTTATTATTCAAACCAGGAAGGTGACACCGTACACCAACAGAACGTCTGTGTATTGATAAACAGGACGAGTTTGTATAGGTGTGTATAACATGTTAACCTTTCACCCCTAGGTTACTTAAGTAGACTCTACCATCCATTTATCTGGATGAGTCCATTGTGGTCCACAGCGGTGAAAGGGTTAAGAGTGACTCACACTCACAAAGGAAGATTGTTGAACGTGCTAATTTATATTTTTATGTCTCTATTTTACTTAAGAAGACCTACTGTTCAGGGGTTAAGTAAGTTCTTTTTGACAAATATTTGTGGTATAGGTAAATGACTACTTCATTGACAATACATAAGCCATTTTCAGACGAAAACCCCTTCCTATTCGTGATATTACTTTAGGGCCTTGTAAATAAATGAAACAAAATATGGAAACCAAAGTAAATAACATTTATAGATAAAAGGTAATATAACAAACCAAAAACTAATGACATGGGTAGGTATGTGGATTTAACTGGCTTAAGGTGCTTTATTGCCCTTTTTGCTTATGATAGATTGTTTTACAAGCAGGTTATACTGTACCTATGTACATTAAATATTATTTATTGCTGTAAAAATGGAATTTTGCAAGTGTCGAAATAGAAACAGATCGCGGTGTTGAAATTTTCGTATTGGCAAAGGTTTAAAATCTTTATTTTATGTCTATATATATATGATTCATGTAACTCATATATTCATATTTGCATGTGGATATTTTTGCGCTTAATTTCTACACGCGAAAAACGCGAACATTTCCACTTTGACAGTATATGACTTTTTTTTTATATGTGTGGATGCATGTAGGATAGAAATATCGCACTAAAGGGTACATTGTACATAGTTTGCGGCAAAAGCCGAGGTTGGCTAACATTATATACTAGAGAGTTGGATATTTCTATCCAACGTGCGAAAAATATTCCGTAATGGCATGACACAAATGCTTTCAAGGCATATATGGCCGTGTTTTACACGTTCAATGTTATTATATGTTTATAAAAAATTGTGATTTCGTCTCTGTGTTTTGTCTTCTTTTTCTTCATTAACCCATGACCCCATAACCTGTGATAAGCTGACGGGATTTTGTTTTCCCGTTGTAGTCTGAAAGCGTTTTTAGCTCACCTGCCCAAAGGGCAAGATAACTTATGCTGTAGCGCGGCGTCCGTCGTCCGTCCGTCCGTCGTCCGTCGTCAATATTTTAATTGAAACAGCTTGTTCTCAATAACCAAAAAGCCGAGGGTGATGATAATTGACCAGGAGCAAACTGGGATGAAGGACTACCAAGTTTGTTCAAATGCATGACATTGATTTATATTCAGGGTCACAGAGGTCAAATATGTTTAAAACTTTCGCAACTTCTTCTGAATAACCTAGAGGCCTAGGGTGATGATTTTTTGCCAGTTTTATGCAAGGATGAAGGGCTACCAAGTTTGTTCAAATGAATGAACTTGACTAATATTCAAGGTCATAGAGCTCAAAAATGTTAAAATCTTTTAACGACTTCTTCTGAATAACCAATAGGCATAGGTCGATGATATTTAGGCAGTAACATGCTGGGATGAAGGGCTGCCAGGTTTGTTCAAATGAATGACCTTGACTTATATTCAAGGTCACATGGAGTCAAATATATTTAAATCTTTAAACAACTTCTGAATAAACTAAAGGTCCAGGGTAAAGATATTTGGCCAGAGGCATGCTAGTATGAAAGGCTATAAAGTCTGTTCAAATTAATATCCTTGAATGACTTTCAAGGTCAAATGTGTCACATGTTTAAATCTTTTATTATATTCTTTTGAATCAAACACTGGTATTTTGCCTGTAGCTGTATTATAGTCCACTTTTAAGATTACAAGTGTAATATTAATACCAGGTGAGCCATTCAGGCCCATTGGGCCTCTTGTTTTTAAAGTTACCTGTAACAGTCTTATATAGGGTAATATTTATTGTCACTTATCAGATACTAAGACACATACCTACATCGATCATCACAATAAAAATATCAAATAGCGATGAGAATCAATGTGCTTCTATCAACTTATGTAAAAAGTTAAGGTGTTAGCCCTGCATTATCTTAATAATTGTTTAAAGATGATTTACACACATAAGCTTTTAATACACTCATCTTTAAGGATGTATTATGGTATGGCATTGTCTGATTGTCTGGCTGGACGTCAACCATATTTTTATCAGAACCATAACTTTAATATTCGTGTTTAACTTTAAACAAAAAATACCACCTTGCTTTAAAATTCCTTTCAAGTGCAAGAGTTACTGCCGTGTCAGAAAAGCTCTGCCTTACTTGAGATTTACTACCTAATCAGAGAGTAATTTTCATAGGGTAACTGTGTTGTAAGAGAGTTTCTTCTGGCCTCAGCGATACTGCCTTGTCAGAGTTACTGTCTGTTAGTAAGTTACAGTAGTGCCGGATAGAGAGCGTGTTGCCTGGGTTGTCTTTCAAGTAGAATGATGATGAAATCATTATTTGTTTACTATCACAAACATCTGGGATCATAAATAATGAATACATTTTCTTACACTACTTTGTGTTTTTCAAAAATTGAAATAATTATTTTAAAAGCCTTAATAATGATAGAGTAATGTTTCACAAACCCTATAGTTGACTTAAAAGTTTTTAAAAAAATGCCCCAGCGTTATCGCTGATTTTTTGTTTGCTTTGGCGAAAAGTGTGTATATCAGCAAACATATCACAAAGAAATGTTTTAGGGAAAAAAACTATGAAATGATAACAAACACCATAATATTATAAATATGACAGTTTTATGCTACGCGATCATTCCGCCATCTTGTACAAAATGTTCCTTTCCTCCCTCGTACAAACTGTTCTTTGACCATCTGTTAATTGAGTGTCCGATTCCTTGTCGTCTAGCCGAGGTGAATAAGCGGGATTCAAACGTTCCATGAACATCTATGGTACCCGGAGAAACAGATATATCGCGGGGCACCGGCTTGCAGACAACGTAAATATTGCGTTGCGCAGAAACTGTTAAAGGGTAGCTGCCGTTCAAATCCTCTACGTAATCTTCCTTCCCAAATCAGCCACTGGCCTTCCACATCATGAAGAAGTACGGCAGAAAGAACTAGCACACAAAGCAACGTCAAATTGGTCCTCATTCTTTTAGCTAAAAATGACATAGAATAGACCTTTTCATTAAAATATTCATGTCGAGTCCCAAATATAACAGAGATCGAATTTAAATTGTGATATATGTATTCATATGCGTTTTTAGTTGTGATTGACTCCAGTTTATTTGAAGTTTTTTGAGGTTTGCGTATTATTTAGATTTAGTTTACTGCTTAAGTTTCGAAAGGTTATGAATTTGATTATTAAATTATAAAAATGAGCCGGGTTTATGGATATGTTAACACAAATTGAATTCCTCTATTGATATGCTTTAGGAAAGCCTCTATATGACAAGAAAATAGTATTCAAAGGTAAATAAACTAGGCTTTCTAGTTCAACTCGAGCAATAGAATGGCGACCTCCAATGTCAATGTCAAAGATTGTATTTTTGAAAAATTGATTAAGCAAACCTTGTTTAAATAGGATAGATTCCTAATGACCCAGATACTTAAAACGTTTAAGAATGTTGTTTACTCCACATTTTATGTAAATTTTATTTACAGATGACGAAAAACAGTACATACCTTGAGCAATTTTAAGTAAACAAAGGAGGACTTTTCCTGAAAACAAAATGAAATTACCCATAAATATAATAAACAAGTTAAAAGGATTATGCGAAGAATTATGACAAGATTATCACTTGTGTAATACAGTGTCTCAAAAGAAAAAAGTTTCACATGTGTACTATAGTGTGTTTTTTTACAGATTATATCACGTGTGTACTACAGTGTCTCCGTAAAAAAAAATCACATGTGTTATACGGTGCTTTTGTTTAAGTTTAAGTTTAAGTTTTTTATTTCCGAATGCAAATCAGCATATAGGTTAATTGATACATAGAATACAAAACATATTTCAAATTTTCAAGATGGCGGAGGACAATTCCATATAAGCAATTATCACATAAAAAGAATACATCATTTAGCAATATTACTACACGAGGGTTTTTCTTTTGGCGGTAGCATATTTTAAATACAGACCCAATCTACGTAATGTTTTAATACTTTTACATGACAATAATTCAATTAATTTATACACACTGGGGCATCGGAAGTAATATTGCTTAATGTATGTGTTTCTCAATACAGAGTAAGCAGGACAAATAAGAATAAAATGTATCTCATCTTCTAAATCATTTTTGTCACAGGCAAAACATAATCTTTGACCTCTCGGAACCCCATTATAACGTCCAGATTCGATATTAAGGGAATGCGCCTGCATGCGATATTGACTCAACATTTTTTTGGTATTAAATGTTAAAGGCTTTACTAAATAGAATTGCATATTAAAAGTATCGACAAGATGTCTATATAAATAACATTTAGAAGATGTTTCAAACGCACCACGTAATTCCTGAATAAATACGTCATGCAGACGTTGGGTATACATTTCCACAAATTGTTTTTCATTTGGAACATATTGAACATCCCAAATATGATTAAAACCCATTCTATATAAATCATTTTTAACATGATAAACCCAGTTAAGTTTACAATTCGGCTTTTTGACATTAAGCTCAAGTAGTGCATCATAGCATGCTTTTAGTACACAGTTATTTGTATTCAAAATATTTAACCAGTATTTAATTATAGCTACTTTGCGCTTTATATGTAAGGAATAACTTCCTGTCTCAAAGTAAACCATAGAACTATTGACGGTTTTCTTAACGTTTAATAAATCTTTAAGAAAGAGAAGATGGACTTTTTCGATTTGCGGCGATAAACAATTACCCCATACCTCACATCCATAGTTCAGTATGCATGTCACATATGTATCAAACAAAGATAATTTAGTTTCAGTATTAAGGATAAAATCTTTCATTCTTCTTTTTAAAAGATAAAAAGCATTCCTGCCTTGAGATGCCAACGTGTTTTGTGCTACGGTGAATCTTCCATTATAATAAAAAACTAATCCTAGATAACAAAATTTGTCCACTATCTCAATTGACTTGCCATTAAACGTCCAGTTTTCAGTAGGTAAGATTCTTTTACTTTTTCTAAAAATTACAATTTTAGTTTTATCATAATTAACAGTTAAATTCCATTTATCAGTGTAACATTGCAGACAATCTAGCATGTGCTGAAGATTGTTAACATCTTCCGAAAACAAAACTGTGTCATCGGCATACATTAACATAAACAGATTAATCAATTGTAGTTCATAACCTTGACAATTGGAATTTAAAAACTCACTCTCCATATCATTAACGAATAATGAAAAAAGCATGGGCGATAACGATTCCCCTTGTAATAAACCGACATGTAAATCGAACATAGTAGACAATTTACCATTTAAATTTATGCAAGAACGAACATTATCATAAATAGATCTAATTACATTTAGCAGTCTGCCACTAACACCACTTTTCCAAAGTTTATACCAAAGTTTATCATGTGTTACACTATCAAAAGCTTTGCTGTAATCTACAAATACGCAATACAGCCTTTTGTTTTGTTCTAATGTATTTATTATTAAACTATGTAATGTAAAAATAGCATCCCTGGTACCAAACCCAGGTTTAAAACCAAATTGGACATCGGTAACAATATCCTCTCTTGTACTCCATTTTAATAATCTTTTATTTAACAAGGAAGTAAATAACTTAGCTAGATGACTAATTAATGTTATTCCCCTGTAATTATTCACATTGTTTTTATCCCCCTTTTTATGAAGAGGTATAATATTGTTAAGAGTATATCACGTGTGTAATACAGTATTTCCGTACAGAAAATTTCACATGCGTAGTACAGTGTTTTCTTTAGAAAATTTCACATGTGTTATACGGTGCTATTGTTAAGAGTAAATCACGTGTGTAATACAGTGTACCCTAAAAGAAAATTTCACATGTGTAGTACGGTGCTTTTGTTAAGAGTAGATCACGTGTGTAATACAGTGTATCATAAAAGAAAATTTCACATGTGTAGCACAGTGGTTTTTTAGAAAATTTCACATGTGTTATACGGTGCTTTTGTTAAGAGTATATCACGTGTGTAATACAGTATTTCCGTACAGAAAATTTCACTTGTGTAATACAGTGTTTTTTTTAGAAAATTTCACATGTGCTATACGGTGCTGTTGTTAAGAGTATATCCTTGTGTAATACAGTGTACCCTAAAAGAAAATTTCACATGTGTAGTACAGTTTCTTTTTAGAAAAAATCACATGTGTTATACGGTGCTTTTGTTAAGAGTAAATCACGTGTGTAATACAGTATTTCCATACAGAAAATGTCACATGTGTAGTACAGTGTTTTTTTAGAAAATTTCACATGTGTTATACGGTGCTTTTGTTAAGAGTAGATCACGTGTGTACTACAGTGTATCCTAAAAGAAAATTTCTCATGTGTAGTACAGTGTTTTTTTTAGAAAATTTCACATGTGTTAAACGGTGCTTTTGTTAAGAGTATATCACGAGTGTAATACAGTGTATCCTAAAAGAAAATGTCACATGTGTAGTACGGTGTTTTTTTGTAAAGAGTATATCACGTGTGTAATACAATGTTTCGGTAAAGATAATAATGAGGCTTAACGTTTTACACGTAGTTTTTTAGATGAAAATAAAATCATTCCTATTTACACGTATACTTACCACCAGCGAGGACTTGCGGATGGTATAGTTAAAGGTTAAAAAACGCACGTTTTAATAGCTTATTGTTACATTTGATTGATCATCATGACAGATTCATGAACTTCTACATTATTCAACAAAACGGAAGGACTTTAATTTAAAGCATATTGTTCTATTTTGGTGAGGTTAATTCCAATTAAGAATGCATAAATGATCTATCACGAGCCACAGTTATATCAATTCAGGAAGGTCAATTATCTTACCTAAAAACTTTTTACTGTGTGAATATCAAATCACGTTGCTTTGCATAATTGAAGCTTGATAGACTGATTGAGGTTTTATGATATCAAATGATGCTAAATGTTACCTGTTTGTATAAGTTATTGCTTTTTAGGTCACCTGAGCTTTGCTCAAGTGACCTATTCTGATCGCATTTCGTCCGTCGTCGTCCGTCGTCCGTCGTGCGTAAACTTTTTACATTTTACAGAAGATCATTCAGAAGATGGGGATTCCTACCCCAACCCCAGGGGCCAGGGTTGGGCTCCAAAGGGAATATTAATCAATATTTCAAAAATCTTCTTCTCCAGACTCAGAGTTACTACAGTCAATTTCTCTGCATGGATGGAAAGATCATCAAGGGCTTTATGGATTATGTTAATTTCAGTAACCCCGGGCTATCCGTTCTCCCTTGGGGAGGGGGTTAAGTTTACTATAGTTTATATAGGGAAATAAAACTTTTGGGTATATTTTGTTCATTTTCAGTAGGAAATTATTCTTACCTGGTGTGAATCATCCTTGGAGGAAGACGGTATCAAACTGTAAAATTGGGATTCGTGCCCCAACCCCAGGGGCCAGGGCGGGGCCAAAAGGGAAAATTACCCAATATTTCAAAAATCTTCTTCTTGCGTCTGCATGGTTTTGTGCTTTACTTAATTAACTTTATACGGTGTTGCCTTTAATTCTTTGTTTTCTTACTTCTTTCTCCGTTGTTGTCTTCAATTGCGTTCTTCTCTTTACTTTTGATGTTATTGTCATTAATTCTTTGTTTTCGAATTTACTTTATAAGTTGTTCCGTTGTTTTCTTTTTTACTTAATACGTCATAAAAATGTGTCTTTCTAAAACGACTTTTTCAAACTATTCATAGAAAAGAAAAAAGAAATCATATTTCATTTTCAATAAACATATATGCAGATTACTTGATTACTAATAAAGTCTTATCCTAAAGTTTTATATTGTTTCTTTAAAGTAATCTAACACGCAAATTCCTAAATTTAAGTTTATACCATACAGTTTCCCCCACAAACATAATTCAACATATGTAATACAGTGTCTCTGTAAAGATAAGTTCACGTGTGTACTACGCGTCTTTATAGCGATATTTCACGTTTGTAATACAGTGTCTATGTAAAGATGATTTCACGTGTGTAATACACGTCATTATGGCGATATTTCACGTTTGTAATACAGCGTCTATGTAAAGATGATTTCACGTATGTAATACACGTCTTTATAGCAATATTTCACGTTTGTAATACAGTGTGTCTGTAAAGATGATTTCACGTGTGTAATACACGTCATTATGGCGATATTTCAGGTTTGTAATACAGTGTCTATGTAAAGAAGATTTCACGTGTGTAATACACGTCATTATAGCGATATTTCACGTTTGTAAAACTGTGTCTCTGTAAAGATGATTTCAGGTATGTAATACACGTCTTTATAGCAATACTTCACGTTTGTAATACAGTGTGTCTATAAAGATGATTTCACGTGTGTAATACTCGTTTTCATAGCGTTACGTGTGCAAAACACGTCTTTATAGCGACATTTCACGTTCGTAATACAGTGTCTCTGTAAAGATGATTTCAGGTGTGTAATACACGTTTTCATAGCGTTCCGTGTGCAAAACACGTCTTTATAGCGACATTTCACGTTCGTAATACAGTGTCTCTGTAAAGATGATTTCACGTATGTATACACGTCTTTATAGCAATATTTCACGTTTGTAATACATTGTGTCTGTAAAGATGATTTCACGTGTGTAATACTCGTTTTCATAGCGTTACGTGTGCAAAACACGTCTTTATAGCGACATTTCACGTTCGTAATACAGTGTCTCTGTAAAGATGAGTTCACGTGTGTTCAACGCGTCTTTATAGCGATATTTCACGTTTGTAAAACTGTGTCTCTGTAAAGATGATTTCACGTATGTATACACGTCTTTATAGCAATATTTCACGTTTGTAATACATTGTGTCTGTAAAGATGATTTCACGTGTGCAATACACGTCATTATAGCGATATTTCACGTTTGTAAAACTGTGTCTCTGTAAAGATGATTTCAGGTATGTGATACACGTCTTTATAGCAATATTTCACGTTTGTAATACATTGTTTCTGTAAAGATGATTTCACGTGGGGAATACACGTCATTATAGCGATATTTCACGTTTGTAAAACTGTGTCTCTGTAAAGATGATTTCAGGTATGTGATACACGTCTTTATAGCGATATTTCACGTTAGTAATACAGCGTCTATGTAAAGATGATGTCACGTATGTAATACACGTCTTTAAAGCGATATTTCACGTTTGTAATACTGTGTCTCTGTAAAGATGATTTCAGGTGTGTAATACACGTTTTCATAGCGTTCCGTGTGCAAAACACGTCTTTATAGCGACATTTCACGTTCGTAATACAGTGTCTCTGTAAAGATGAGTTCACGTGTGTTCAACGCGTCTTTATAGCGATATTTCACGTTTGTAAAACTGTGTCTCTGTAAAGATGATTTCAGGTATGTAATACACGTCTTTATAGCGACATTTCACGTTCGTAATACAGTGTCTCTGTAAAGATGAGTTCACGTGTGTTCAACGCGTCTTTATAGCGATATTTCACGTTAGTAATACAGCGTCTATGTAAAGATGATGTCACGTATGTAATACACGTCTTTATAGCAATACTTCACGTTTGTAATACAGTGTGTCTATAAAGATGATTTCACGTGTGTAATACACGTCATTATAGCGATATTTCACGTTTGTAAAACTGTGTCTCTGTAAAGATGATTTCACGTGTGTAATACACGTTTTCATAGCGTTACGTGTGCAAAACACGTCTTTATAGCGACATTTCACGTTCGTAATACAGTGTCTCTGTAAAGATGATTTCACGTATGTAATACACGTCTTTATAGCGATATTTCACGTGTGTAATACAGTGTCTCTGTAAAGATGAGTTCACGTGTGTACTACACGTCTTTATAGCGATATTTCACGTTTGTAATACAGTGTCTCTGTAAAGATAATTTCACATGTGTTATACAGCGTCTCTTTATTGATTTTTTACGTTTGCATTACAGTGTCTATTTAAAGTTAATATATTTGTCAAGATTTCGTAACATCTGTGACCAGTAGCTTTAACAAACATTTCCGTAACTATCATTTCATATATATGATATAAAGTTTTCGTGAAAGCAAATAAACTTGTGTAATACAATTCCCGTACACATGATTTTACACATGTTGATTATATAGTCAGTTTTTAACATATAGAAGTTCCCAAACGAGTAATAGTTAATCAACACGAGTTCGTTATCTTTTAAGACACGATGTTTACCGAGTATATTTTACAATTTGAAAATTAACTAACGAGAGTTAAACATGTTCAACGACCATCACGAGTTTGGGGACCGTTTTTTCTCTCCCACAAAGTTCCATTTTTTTTTTACCAACTCCTTGATGGTTTATCCAATTAGTCGGGAGTGATGAAACCTATAGTGGTTGTGGGAGAAATAGATGATAAAAAGTTTGAGGATATTGATTTTCTACAAATAAAATTAATATGAGCACAAAATATAAATCAATAAAAAATGAACAATAATAAAAACTCGAGTTGTACATACCGATTGCAGGGAGAAGTGGCTGATATGGCTATCTATTTCAAACTGTAGTGCACATAATTTCTTTCTTTCTATTTAATCGAAAAGTCAACTCGTCATGCATTTTTTCATTCAGTAGTGATTGATGAACTTCTACAGTTTCAACAAAGCGAATAAATCAGTAGGTGCTTTGATATAGTGTAACATGCAGTTTTCCTTTTATTAATCAATCAGTCAATCGTAGAAACGCAGCAATACGTTTTAATCATACAAAGGGTGATATATTATAAACTACATGGCTAGAATTTTCAAGGAAAACGACTATTTCATCCGTCCTTATAATGTGTAACACGGTGATTCGCCATTTTCTGTCGCTATTTGGGCATTTTGAATGGGATCGTTTTTAACGATTAATTTTGATGGGCGATTTGTTTTTGTAATTGTTTATTTTTCGACGATTTTTTCATAATACGTATAATCATGAAAAGTAACACACACACACACACTCAAACTTACAGAGTATACATGCTAGCACGAGATATCTTCATTATCTGCACAGGTACAGGTCAGGTATATATTATACAACCATCACATTCTGCATATTTATAAACAATTCCTCATTCACTTACCACTAGATGCTTTGCACTATATATCTAAGAAGTATAGTTCAAATTTCCAAGCCTACCATAGTAGATGTATCACTGTTCACCCCCCCCCCCCCTACACACACACACACATCACAATGTGTACATGATCATTTTGTCACCATCGTGCAATAATATTTCTACATTGTCGACACATAAACATGTTATTGCACTGTATACATGTTCGATAATAACCATTTAATTGTATAAAAATATGGTCCATGATGTATCCTGACTAGTACATACATGAATATGTACAATGTATATACACACATGCATACACATAACACTAGTATTAAGTCAGCTATCTATATATATCGACACTCATTTGTCTCATACCTAGCTGTATCTATAATTCATCTATTACACACCCATCGCACACACACACACACACACACACACACACACACCATAACTTACTCTCACAGACACCTATCCATTACACAGGTTGATACACACATCACCCTCTTACTTTAGAACCATAAATGATAATATACTATCCGTTGTGTACATCAAACCTACATACTATACTTATATAAGAGTAATATCAGTAGTACAAGTTTAGAGAGAAAGAGAGAGAGAGAGAGAGATGAGGGAGGGAGGGGAGGCAATCTTACATGTAAAAATTATATATATGCTTAATTACACCCACCGAGGCCTTGGCTATATATATANTAAAAAAAAAAAAAAAAAAAAAAAAAAAAAAAATTAAAACACAAAAATCAGCTATATATCTATAATAAGTTTCCATTTTCTCCAACGTATTTCAAATTTCATTTTGACGTGCTCACTATTACCGTTATTAATATAGTTTTGAACAATGAAAGGATCTTTAATGACATTAATTTGTGCATTGAGATTTAAGGATTAGCAGAGACATCTAGTCTTGTATATATAATGCTTGATAAGGAGGATTAAATTTTCATTATCAACATAATTAGAAAGGTGTGAAACTATTCCAAAAAGGAAGGATTCCTTATTAAATGAAAACGAGATCAAAAATAGATCCAGCAGAGTTTCAAATCTCTGCAGTAATTCCTGCACTTCTCGACATTCCCATAGACAATGAATTATTGTTTCATGGTCTATATTACACAAAGTACATAACGGGCTAGGGGCTAAGTTAATTTTAAACAGAAAAGTGTTTGTAGCCAAAATGTGCTGTAAAATTCTAACTTGGAACCCCTGTAATTTTGCATTTTTAGATACTGTAAAAGGAATTTTGAAATTTTTGGTCCATTTTTCATTATCAAAGTCAAACTCCTGGTTCCATTCATTGGTCCCTGTAGGTGTTGAAACTGGAGCAATAATACAGTTATAAAAATCTTTAGCTCCTTTTTCAATTTCCAAGAGAAGAGGTATGAAAGGTGGTATAGCTATCAGAGAGTCAAATCTCCTAACTAAACGAGCTGAGACTAGACCTTGGTACTGGAGAAAGTTTGTATGGATATGGAAATTAAGCTGAATCTCCTCAAGTGAATAGAAAGTCAAGCTGTCAGAATGTTTAACGAGGTTATTCACTGTAAATATTCCTGCCAAAAACCAATTTCGATAAAAAAAAATATATTACCCACTTGAATATCCTTGTTATACCATAGGGGAGTTTTTAACATTGATTCACTTCTACTGTAGGTTTGTCTCATACATTTGGAATTATTCAGTCTAACCCATCCTTTAAAAACATCCTTCCAAAATGGGTTACGCCAGGTATTTACACATGTCATAATGTATTCTTTTCCCCATTTTTTTTTTTTTTTAGGATCCAAAATTAAATTCAAAAGCTGATTCCATATTCCAGATGGCTGGAACAGTCTTCAAACCCAACCTAGCTTAAGAGAATTTATAAAAGCATGTACATCAATCATCTTCAATCCCCAATTGATATCGTTTTGAATCACAACTTCTTTTTTAATCCTATGACTTTTGCCATTCCATAGAAAATTGAATAACAAAGAATTAAACTTAGCAATATGTTTTTCGGATGGGTTTGGCAAAGTCATAAACAGGTAATTAAGTTGGGAAATCAACAAAGACTTTATGACACTAATTCTAAATAATGGAGTCAAACTCCGTCTGTTCCAATTATTAATAAGAGCTTTAAGCTTAACAATATTTTTGTCAAAATTCATTCTTGGATTCTCACTTAAATCTACGGAAAATCTATACCCAAAAAGTTCAACTTATCCTTCCCCCATTGAAGATGCAAGTCTGGAAGGAAAGTTTTCTACTGCCTATCCATATAACCTGTGCTTTTGTAGTACTGATCTTTAACCCAGAGATATTTGCAAAATTATTCAATTCATAGATAGACCTCTCTGTACCATCTAGTATCAACCCAGAATCATATGCATATTGTATATTTAAAATATCTTTATTTTCCAATTGGATGCCTTTAATATGGTTATTATTTTTTATATTTGATGCTAGGACCTCAACACAAAGTATAAAAATATAGGGGGCGATAGGATCGCCTTCACGGCTCCGCGTTGAATGTTGATAGGTGCAGAAATGTTGCCACCTTGATTAACATAAGAACATACATTAAGTGTGTAAAGTTTTAACCCAATGTCTTATGTACACTCCAAAATTAAAATAGTAAAGTACCTTATCAATAAAACTCCGTGAAACCGAATCAAATGCTTTTTTAAAATCTATCAAAAGAACCATACCTGGAATATTTCTTTCTCCTGCATAGTACATCACATCATATAATGTTTGAATATTTTCCCCAATATAGCGCCCTGATAAGAATCCTGTCTGGTCATTATTTATATGTTTTCTTTATAAGTTTTTATCCTAGGAGAAATTACTCCAGGTGCTATTTTATAAGTGATATTCAAAAGTGAAATTGGTTTCCAATTTTTCAAAAAATGACGTGGTTTATTTCCCTTGGGGATAAATGTTGTTATACCTTGTCGTTGTGTGACTGACAGCTGGACATATGTAAAACCATAATTAATTGGACGAACAACAAAATTACCTAAATATTTCCAAAAAGTCTTTAAAATTCTGAAGTAAAACCGTTTGACCCAGGGCTTTTATTATTTTTCATATCTTTCAATGTTTTCCCTGTTTCTCCCAATGTTAGTCTACCCTCTAAGCTGTTAGACTCAATATGATTTAACTTTGGATTATTACAGTCACGAAGATGAACATCTAAATCAGTATTATCAACATTCCTATGTCTATATAAGTCTGCATTAAATGATTGTACTTCTTCTAAAATATCTTTCTGCTTTGTAAAATTTCATTGTTCTCTTTCTGAATTTTTGGAATAACTTTGGAAGAAAAAATTATGTTTTCCAAATTAAAAAAATAAGATGTAGGTTTCTCTCCCTCTGGCCTGGGTTAATACTATCTTCTAAAATTTCTATAGTTTTCTTAAGGTCTTCTTCTTTTAATTTCTTTTCCTTTTTCCTGTAAGATGCATAAGATATAGATTTGCCTCTAATTTCCATTAACAATGTTTCTAAAAATAGTTGATCATTGATTACAAACTGAATATCACTATTGGGAATAAGTGCTAATGAGTTGAAATTATACACCGGAAGACAATATTGTAACTTAATGTTCTCGATGCATTTTTTTACCATATCTAAATATTCATGTTCCAGTAATAAAGAATTGTTCAGTTTTCTTAAGCCTTTCTCTTTCTTAAATTCATTAATTTTCAAAGTTATAACTTGGGCTGAATGATCTAATCTGTAACCCGGTTTAATGCTTGATTTTTTTATGCTGGATAAAAGATTGTCTGAAATAAGGAAAAAATCTAATCTGGCCTGTTTTATTGGATTACTTCTCCGCCAAGTAAATCTCTTATTATCCTGGTGACGCTCCCTGTATATGTCAATAAGATTATAATTTTCATTAAGTTCTAAAACCTTGTTTCTAGCAGCAACATTGTTAATATTTCTGTATGAACGATCATAATCTAAGTCTGGGTTCAATACTAAGTTTAACCCCCCACATATAATAATATTATCATTCCCAAAACTATCAATAGTATCTGAAACAAGTTTACAACAATCTGTGTTGTCTTGATTTGGGCTGTACAGTGTAATTAGTGTTGTTCTGGAACCCTCAATGGTAATATCAAGAGCAAGGAAATTTCCATTCATGTCTTTCTTTTCTTTGTGCACTTTACTTTCAAAGTTAGAATTTAAAAGAATAGCGATACCACGTGAATTTGATTTAAAAGAACTAAAATTACTGTCATATCCCCACTCATTTCTTATGGTATTTTCCTGATCTAGTGTAAAATGGGTGTCCTGCAAACAATAAATATGATACTTCTTGTCTCTTTGGTACGCAAACACGTCTTTTCTCTTTACTCTATCGCCAAGGCCCTGACAGTTAGCCGAAAGCACACTGATACCGTTCATGTTATTTCAGAGTTTGCACATGATAAGAGTAAGATTGAACCCTCCAACGGATATAAAGGGAGATTTAATGATGTCAGGTGAGGATAGACATTATATTATGTGCCAGCATATATCTATCATCAGAGATATCGTCACAGTCCCTTCGTACACGTTACGAATATATTATAGTTATTAATACACTTCATGATGTTTTTTTTGGAATAAGTTTGTTGATATTTGAGTACTCTTATGACGTCACGCTTGACAACAAGGATGTGTGCCATTTTGAATGGTCTACTTAACGCAATTCGGATGTTTTCTGTTATTTTCTGATCGGAATAGCTTACAAATGAATGTTATGAATCGCATGTAGCTTTAGGTATGTTAATATACTAGTGTATGCACCAAACATGAACAAAAACCACAACGTGTTTTACCGTCGCCTCGTCTGCAGCTAAACACAATATCTGCGGCAGTAAATAGAAAATACCATGTTAAATGGTCAATTTTAAATCGATACTGGACCTTTTATCATCACGTATGAAGACACAACATTATGTTTATTTTACTGCAGTTAATATATGGCTATATTTATTGGATTTTTCACTCATGAAAATGTAATAAATATTATGCTAATACGATACCGTCACCACCAAGGAAAAGAGTATGTAGCAAAATTGATTGAATGTTCTCTTTTCTTGTGTGAAAATTTGATTTATTGTCTCTCTGTGCGATGGGCTAGTTAGCTGTGTTGCGTGTAAGATTATTTACATACACATCTATATAGATATGTAGACCTATTTCCCTGTACAAAGAGCTAGTAAGCTGTGACAGCTACACTGTATAATATTATTTACATAGATCTATGTACCTGTAAATGGGATGTTTAATTACGTCGCCCAGAAGACGTACTATTTAAGCATTGAACTCTGTTTGTGTCTAGCGCATTATGATTTGTTTGCTTGCAATGCTGTGTCATTCAAATAGATCATAAATACCATACAAAAACAGTTCAATACTTATATTTACGTTTTCTCTACCTCTTATGTTCTTTTTTAACTTATAATTTATATTTAAAATTAAAAATGCCCGCCTTATCGAGAGTCCACATAATTTCGTTCAATAGTTTTGAACAGCGTATTGTCGCGTGCTGATTGGCAAACAAAGTAGTACTTTGAAATTTTAACAAACACTTCAATTTTATTCCACAATTCAGTATCAATACAATTGCGTATGATATATCTATGGGGATGATTTAAGTTTATCAATAGAACTCTGAGCTGAAAGTTAGATTTGAAATTGTTTCTATTTTTCCCCGGAACAAATTTCGCGCATGGACAAATACAGAGAACACCGTAAATCCGACCTTGCCCTCCACGAGGGTATTATTTTTGAAAGTTAATTCGTACTTTTCTCTTTGTTCATTTTGTGAAGAATCCAGGCGTGAATTTATTTGTTGATTGTATGGAAACCTGTCAACAGTCGGTAGATTCTATAACATCCTCGTTATTTGACATGTCGTCAGAAACTGAGGAACCGTGGATGCGAGACGCGTGAAACTGATAGCGTTTCAAGTGAGTGATATTGCGACGGGAGCACAGGTTCGTTACAAATGTCTGAAATGTTTATGTGTGCTGTGACTCATATCAGTAGGTCTGTAACATATGTGTCAATAGGTCTATAGAATATGTGTATTTCAGACATGTGTAACGAACCCCTGTTGATCAGTGCAGTGTAACAGACGATATTTCTGATAAATTGCATGAGCATTAAAATTGTTTCCATTGCCGACATTGGTAATTTCAACCGATGTGCATTTTGTACGATATTGCAGACCTTGGTCTTGTTTTCGTTGTAATAAGTGTGTTTTTTATTTTATTTTTTCATTTTGCACATAAATTTACAATGACATTGTCAAATCTCACAATGCCCAGTGATATTTCAGCAGCCGTCATGTTTATTTATATTGGATATTGTAGTTCCGGTCGGTGTTGTATTAATACGCTAAGAATTGTGTCTCGTGATGCATGGTAATTAAAGTCCCATCAACGACACAGCTTTCAAAGAGGCTATATAGTGACAATGCCATGCAAATGTAAATATATATATATAACACGAAATGTTCGTGGATACTTTCCTTGGTGGTTTGAAGCCATTTAGATCATTTCGTGGTATAAACTTTCGTGGATATCCTGTATTAACAAACAGTAGAAACGTATATCATTCAAAATCCTTGTACATTGTATTTATTTTCGTGGTTTAATAACAACCATGAATACCACGAATGTTTATACACAACGAACATTTTTTCTGTTATACATTATGTACTCTAGACCCATGCATGTGTCTCTACTGTATAGTTTTCCTATCGCTATCGTGTTATATCTATTGATATATCTGTCCTGACAAATGTAAATCTAGTGTAAGAAGGTCTCCTATACAATATAACAAAGTTTAAGGATCCCTGCCCCACTGTACCTTGATTTTACGTAGTTTTGGATGTAACTGTAGAACAACTGGGACAGAGCACTCCCTATTTCCAGGTAGCTCTGTAGGTTAGGGCGATAGTTTACTCTAAGAATACAGGTGCTGCCTTTATGATGTTTATTCCATCAGTATTATAAATGAATTATCAAAGCTGTAATTATATCGGAAAAACATTTTCCAATTCGTAGTTTACTGCGCATGATACGAGGATCCTTAAATCTAAAATATCGGTTATCTGCAAATAAACTAAAGAGAAATGTGGTATGGTGAGGTGTTTAATCTATAACAAAAACACAGATTTTTCAGATATGATTTTTATTAATATTCAGAAATCACATAATCGTGATGGTACAGACTTCCCTATCCGCACACAGACTGTGTTGTGAATATGTGAGTGACGACTGTACGATTCCCCGTCTTTTAGCCAGACAGAATTGTGATTCCATTGTTGTTCATACACATGTTGTAAAAGCCTAGACAGAATCTTTGCCGAACAAAGCCGTCGATACATCGCCAGTAACTTTGTAGACAGGATAGTTGAAAGTTAGATCTCCTTCTGATTAATCTAAATTCCTGTCCCTCTGCAGGTTGAAGAATTGCAGCACACAGAACCAGCAAACAGAGTACCATCAAGAGGTTCCTCATGTTGTCAGCTACAAAATATAGTCATCGTTGAATTAAATATCATAATCTAATTTATATTCCACAAAAGATTACTGTATATATTTCTTGGCCTACGATGTACCGGCAAAGTAACACCCAATCCAAAACTAGTGTGTAACTAGTGTTAATTTCGCCTTTTAAATGCAATAGCTCTTCCTTGTATGTTGTGTACTAATATACGCTGTCATGATGCATTTTCCCTCATTGGGGAGAGCGAAAAAGGCTATAGTTAAACTACAGCGAACATTTCCCGGTAAACAGTATGTGGAACGGAGTGCATCCATACAAACACCTGGGTGTGAGTCGTTTACTCTTTTTACTACTTTAGGGTCTGGAGCAGTCATTGACTCCGGCTTACATAAATATGAATATTTGGTGTCCATCCTCGACATTCCAGGGGTTACGTTCACTTACGTTCCCTGCAACCTTGTAAGATGTCTTAACAAAATCTAAGGCTCAGTACGCACCGTTGGATGATATTAGTAGGCTAGTTTTTATCATTTGATATACATCAAATGAATCGCACGGAAAGGTAAAGGTAAAATTGACAGGCTTTAAGGTCATTAATTGCTTCTCTGTAACCTTTAAAGACAGGTATCAGCCTAGCGATTGGTCGTTTTTTTAAACCTTGACCGATCAAATAGCTTACCGCGTGCCTTCAATATTGTTACGACATATTCCAAGAGTGAAGAGAACGTAAATGAATAGTGTCAAGTGTACATGAACGTTTGACTGGAGCAGAGTAATTGACTATAGTTTACGTAGTCACAGGACCATCCTCGATATCCAGGGGTTCCGCTCACTTCCGCTCTCTGCACCCCTTGAATATTTCATAGCTAAATTGAAGGCACTTTGCTAGCTATTTGATTGGTCTCGGGTAAAAAAAACACCTGACCAATCGCAAGGCTAATGCCAGTCCTTTGAAGATTACAAAGGAGAGACGCCCGATTTCAAAGCCTGTCAACTTTTACCGTTACGTGACCGCGAGATTCTTTTGATGTATATCAAAGGATCGAACTAGTCTCCTTGTCTCATCAACAAGGTGGCGCACACCGAGCCTTCAATTTTGCTATGACATATTCCAGGGGTACAGAGAGCGAAAGTGAGCGTAACCCCTTGATATCGAAGATGAGGTGAGCGTAACCCCTGGCTATCGAGGATGAAGTGAGCGTAACCCCTGGATATCGAGGATGAAGTGAGCGTAACCCCTGGATATCGAGGATGTCCCAGGACTATCTAGATTAGTTACTGACTGGTATTACACTTGTTCAAGTTAGCTGTAAAGGTTTCGATATTGTTTTAGTTTAAATTATGCCTCTGTATTCATGATTATGCTTCAATTTGTACATAGATGTTAGAAAGATAAACAAATGTGAATTTTGTTTTGATGATTTGGAAAACCTGTTATAAAATGTACAACAACGATTTGTAGTTTAAAGTGAGCTATAATAAGGCGACATGTCTTGTCATACATGGAGCGGGAATACGATGGTTTACGCCTATATTTGAGAGCAATGAATTAAGCAAATACTTTCAATGAAATCAATTTTCCTGATAACTCGAATTTTATTTGGATCAAAACTTATGGATTTAAATAAACGAGAAAAAGTGAATAACGACAAACGGAAAAATATTTACCTTCACACTCAGTTACGCAATTTCAATTAAAAACAGTTCTGAAAAAAACAAAAAACAGATTATAAAAATCACATATAGAACAATCTACACATGTGAGGTATTCCATTCCTTTCAAAGAAAATACTTTAAAACGTATAAAAGCTTTGTGTTGTTATCTGGCTCTGAGAGCAATGTTTGAGTTTTTGATTTATTCAATATTTAGTATTTTTTTCTCCTTTTAAACAAACAAATGTATTATTTAAATCAAAGCTTACAATCAGCTAATCGCAATTCCAGACAACCTACAATGAATACAAATGCAGAGGTGTAGTGAGGGTTTTCGATAAGCATGCAGCTGCTTATTTGCTTACGTGGCAGCTACGTATACGCACCTGGACGCATTAAAGATAATATAGAGTGCAATGTCTCTATAGCATGTGCTGTATATTGTTGTTATAGTAATAAAGATAATCTTAGGTGTGTAATACAACATTTGATTGAAGAGTGTTTAACGTGCGTAGTAAAAAGTCTTTGTAAAGATAAATCTTAGTATTTAAAAAAAATAGAGATTGAGAATACTGAATTGTAACAAGCCAGAATCTAAACTTAACAGTCATGACACTATGGCAAAATATAAACGAAAGAAAGATTGAAATGACAATTTTTTGTTTGTTTTTAAATGCAAGGGGAATAAATAAGACCAGGTGTTGCGGAAGAGAAAGCGTCTATTGTTTCATCAACAGCATCCTCTATATAAATCTGGGTTAAATCTAAGTAATGTCACTTCCTCAGAGCAAGAGCCGGAGTAATGATAACAAGTTCACAAGACACACTAATGAACGTAATGAAAAATATCAACCTTTATATCGCAATAGGAACTAAGATATTTCCCAATGATCACGGCGGCGATATATTTGTCTTTAAACATAAATAAGTGTTTTCATACGAGAAATTCACACGAGAAATTCAGCGTTTCCTTCAAGATGATATCAAGAGTTTGATACAGTAACTCCATCAAACTATTTTAATTGTGAAATACAGAATTTATTATTAAACAGTAATTCGTGTATAATACAATACCCCCGTAAAGAAAATGTCACTTTGTGAAGTATAATGTATAAGGGTCGTAATACTGTGTCCGTAATTAAACTCACATTCATTACATACCGCGGATATCTGATAATAAAATACACTTGGTGAATTATGGAAAGATTTAAATTTCACACATGCAGTTATTTAGACACAAATACAAATTTTTAAAATAAAACGATATGATATTACATGTAAAAATAACAATAACATATCATATATGTACCTACCTACGGCCGGGAGTTTCGAAATATGGTAATGGATCTTTATCTCTGGAATTTATAGATGATTCTTTTCGTTTCACCGAAAGTTATTTTCGTTTTCCCCCCCAAGAAAGATTGATGAAATGCGTTTATGTGATTTAAACTCATTTGACACTTGTATGACAAATAAATATGCTGTGTGTGTTTCTAGGTACCCAATCGTTCTTCCTGTAATTGAACAATCGATCATAGAATCTGGGCTAGACGTCATGCTGGTGATATTTTCTCATGGAACACAACAATAAAAGATGATCTATCATATATCACAGGGCGATAATTTTCAGGTGAGACGAAAGTTATCTGGTTTTATGATATTTTATTTTGATATTCCGGACCTTTCCGTCACTAACTAACCATTAACTAACGCTACTTTCCATACATAATTAAGTAAACACAAGAACACCTATAAGAACGGTTTGATCCTTACTATGCAAAACTCTATACTCCGGAACTGGAATTAACGGATATCTATTATTTATTTTTAACTTTCAACGGGATCTCAAAACTCTTTGTTCTACCAGAACCTTTGACTTTCCCACTCCTTACACTACCATGCCTGATACCAAACTTAAGGAATGGTTCGTTCTCTTATTATGAGAATGTTCCTCTCCAAGAAAGGATAACGGCGAAATAAATAAATGGTTATATTAAACAATAGTGTGGTATTATTTGTGAAATACACGCAAAAGGGCAATATGAAATGTTGAGTTCGGTGCATGATTTTCCAGTAGATATAGGTATTCTTGTGAATACAAATTTGTCCAATCTTCAAATTTCTAGCCCAATTTAATCGAGTTGTTCTGTATTCTACCACGTCTTCGATACAGCGACACTTTCTCGCTGGTTAATAAACATGTTTTATTGGACGATGGATGTATTACTTTCCAACAGACCATGCACGTGCAACGCTCTTCCAAAAACCTTCCCCGCCTATGTAAACAAGTGAGTCTTCGGACTGGTCCCCTTTTTCAAATGAGGGTACAAACATGAAATTGTGTATGTACAAAAATGTAATTAAAGATTTACAAGTGGACATTCAAAATAGTTTCTATTTGATTTCCAGATATACTTTATACATTTCAGGTTCATGGTTAGAATATTCCGCCGAACTATCGCAGAGGTAATTTGAAATAGTGTTTGTAAATCTGTCAAATGCTTATTTCAAGTGTTGACGAGCGATGTCGATAGATTGGTGGTTTTGATTGATTGAAATAGGCATCTGGTGTAAAGCATAATGTCAGTGTTTATTGTTTTTCGTCTGTAAACTAAATGACGGCTGAAAATGAAAAAACCCTTCCCAAATGCATTCAGATTAAATTGACAAAATCGGACAACTACTCACAGGGTCGGAAATGATAAAAACGCGCAAGTTGTTATGAAATTTAACTTTATGGGCATATCGTGACGAAGTTCGCACGCACTAAAACAGTAGATGATCTAGGTCACATTGCTTACGGGCTTGATGACACAGAGGTAGACGCGAAACGAGCTTATTCAAATTTTACTAGGTAGAATAGACATAATCAATATGTATGTATACTATAGTAGAAAATGGAACTCGCCATAATACACCCATTTATGTTGATTAATTCTTAATTTATTGTTGTCGAATCAAATTGTGATCCTGTATAACACAAATGCCTCAGAAAATTAATCCTCAATTTAAATATTTGGTTATTAACTTACACACTTTATGATTGAAGTTTTATCATAAATTGTGTTACATTGTAGGCACAAAACAAATATTTATCATTAGCATAACATTCAGTAGAACTTTTTTTCAAAGTTATATGTTTGTGTCTATGTGAAAGGGCAGATTCCCTTAAAAATGTGCTGACCAATTTCATGGTCCTTGTTGTCTCTTTAAATGCTTTGCTATAACAACCAGAGTAATACACATACAGAGCCCGTAATGGACCATACATAAGTAGGTGTCGTTATAACTTGTTTGACCCGTATGTTTCTGTCACATGCTTGCTTAGCAACACTGAACAATAAATCATCGGCATTCACCTGTAGTTCTATCCTTTTTATGAAGTAACAGGACATAGGCAATTTTCCATACAGTTGATAATTTACCTAACACCAGGGAACTGGTTTAGAAATGAATCTCAAATGACCGAATTTCATGGTTACGTTGCACAATCACAACATGACGTCATGAGTATTGGAGGCAAAATAAAATTGCTTTAAAATTAATATGAGTTTAATGTAACGAAATACATTACATAAGTGGATGATAATTCAAACAGCAAGCTATGTAGGTGAACATACAAGAACCATACAGATGAAAGAAAAACTATGATAGATATTTGGATAATAAAAAACGGCGTGATTGATAATCAATAAAATCCTTAAAACGTTTGGTTTTCATGGAAAGTGTTAACAATGAGTATGTAAGTATGGGACGATCAATCAAGTCCAACAATGATTGATGTACAACGTTAGAATAAAAAGGTTTACACATAACCTCATCATAGCTACTTAACGACATCATACACGTTGTACAGAATTTTAATAAACCAGGCGCGCGCGGCTGTGGTTCAATTAAGGATTTATATGGAGTCGTCGTAAAATTGAGGACGTTTAGTTGTCGCTAGCGGCTAAATTATCCCTATTTATCTGTGTTCACATTTAATGCTTTTCATATATTAACACTATTTTTATATATGTATTGTTCCAAAAGGGTCATATTCCGGGTGCTTTTGTAGGTAGGGGACTACCAATCACTTAGAAACCTGGGATATGAACACTTTCTTTTTCTTTGATGATTATTACTGTTTTATTATTAATATATGGGATTATCTCCCTTTACTTGTAATATGATATGTTATTGTTATTTTACATATGTTTGTCGCAATAATAGCTCTAAAGAGCTAATTTTCCTTGTTTACCTGCATGCGACGTTAATGTAAACGCTTAGGTTATTTATAGGATTTCGTGTCCGCACGAGATCCGTGACCTTGTTTATGTCGGTGAAGGACAAATGAATACACGTTTCAATTACCGCCTGTCCCAGATTAAATGAAAACGATTTATGAGAGGTTTATAACTTAGAGAAAATTTAGCAATCTTCAAACGATCCAAGTTAGAGTTATACTTATCGCAGATAACTTGTTGAAAACTATCTTAGCATTCAGTCAATGACAACTGTTACTACATAAATCTACCATGATCAACTAGATACCGTACAATGTAGGGCTATCCAACCTTCATGGTAAGTGCGTAGTTATACAAACTGACGTTACGTGGAACAACATTAATTATTACTGTCTACAAGTTTATATAGAACATGTGTGCGGTCGGGTGATGCAGTGGATAGCGCACTTGCCTTTAACCAAGATGACCGGGGTTCGATTCCCCTATCGGACATAAAAAGGTATGGGGTCACCTGCCCGAGCATATGGGTTTTCTCCGGGTACTCAGGTTTCCTCCCAAAGTAAGACCTCCCTCGCCCTAACATCCGGGCCAACAAGAGTGATTAGTACAGGTCGTAAAATCTTGTTTCGTAATTGTTGAAAAAAACATTTAGTTTATATTAAGCTTATATATATTTTTAAAATGTTATGTTATCAGCCGTTATAAGAAAAATCAGTTTGACTTCTCCACTTTGTATATGTGGCCCTAGCCTGGTGATATACTTTCCGTTTCCTTCAATGGACCGACTCGGTAGGGAGAATTTCTCTTTACCTTATTCGGTAGAGTGTAAGATCAGTAAACCAGGGGCCCTGGGTTCGACTCCTAGTGGAGGCACTGAAAATACTACTTCTGTTACATACACTACATCTTTGTCGAAATGAATTCTCCATAATGTTGTTATTCTAATTATCATGATGACTATCTTTTTAACGCTTTTTATTAACGATTTAATTTTGTATTCGTCTGAAACTGACATCCATTAATGATTGGTTGTCATTGATTGTTGGCCAATCCTTAAAGACAGAAAGAGTAACACAAAGGTTATTTGGAGTACCAAAGACGTTCTAAACGTTTCCCTTAATACCATCAGTAACAATTAATTCTAAAGGGTTCAATAGTTTGCTAATAGCATAACATTTATATTCCATGTATACGTTTTAATTTATTACATCAATAAAATAAATATCAAAAATCTTTGAAATACAGAAAATCACTTGGAACCCATTTATAAGCAAAGCGGACATGATGTGACTGTTCAACCTTCCATTCAGATAGATGTGTAGTTGATATGTTTACCGGGGTGATCTCCCTTTCCTATTATTGACTGTAAAAAAATAACTGTTTCCCATTTAAATTGAATGCACGTGCGTTGGATGTGTATTACTTAAATAAATACATAAGCAAGGAAGTGATAGCAACAGTGTGGACAAAGGAATTTGTGAAATTTTCGACACGCTTTGACCCTTTATCAAGACATAAACATGAAACAACTGATACAATTATGCATATATAAAAGTATTGCAAATAAACGTAAGGCCTTTTGTGATTGTCCGAGACATTGCATGATATGGATACTATTTATTTTAACTGTGTCCGAGCTAATTCGAATACAGTTCTTAAACCACGATGGCTTTAGTGTCTGTTTAGCGTGAGAAATTCCATCGGACACAATCTAAGTACAGTTCAATAGTGTCAAAGTGTTAGAGTATTAGTTGTAATTACAAGTGTTGTTTCTCAATACTGAATGGTAAGCCGCTGTTGTGGGTATCCTCTGCTGAACATGTCATTAATGACTGCTGAGATGGGGTCATTCTAATGGCGCAATTTTCTTATTTTACTCACTAAACATTTTAAGATAAATACATTATTTTTTTTTTTATTTACAAAAACGACAATGAGATCAAAAAGAAAAATGATACAGAAACACACCTTTTTTTATAGAAATGAACATAACACTGCAGGTGATGTAACTTTGCTTTCTTTTTTGAAAATAACACTTTACGAATCATTTAGGAAAACATCAGTTGAAGATATTTAGTTTTCAGCTAATTCTTGATTTGTCTCCCTTTACATTGTCAACTCCCCATCGGAAACATGTGCTCATTTTTCTGTGGTATTTTTGTTGTTGATATTTTAAATTCATTGTCATTTTTCGAAAGAAAACCCCAATATAATTCGCATCTTATATACATGTATCGTCCAGAACTAGATATCAAAGAAGTCACACTCGCTGCTTCCCCATCATACCATTGGAAAGGAATTTAACCTCCATACTCCATCCAACATTTAAATATGTTCAATGTGAATTTGTTTATTTTAATTTCCGCAATAGTAACCCATCAGTCTCCACTGTTTCATCACAGGTGATTCGGTACTCCAGTGCTAATTTCAGGGATCAGGATTGGATGTAACAGCAGAGCCAGTACAGCAGGACGAGATCAATAACAACAGAAGCTATAGTACTCTCCCTATACATATTTTATTCGTTCTACTACACAATAGGTCCTGGCTCGGGAATACCCTGTATGTGTATCAGGAATAGCACAGTCAGCAACTGTAACAGAGAAACAGGATCACGTGACTCGACGACGATGACGAAGACCACAGATGAGGGAGAAAATTGACATACATTGTACCTTATGACGATGTGCTGTAAAAGTCTTTTTGAACGATATTGCTGCGGTGTTTTAAGTATATATATAATGATACATCCATTGTCGTACCACAGCATCAGTTTAACACGGGGATTATATATAATTTCACAATGTTTTCAGAGTTTGTCGCGATTCTCTTATATTGCAAGTTTGTATCAACATGGAAACGATGAGAAAATTGTTCTATGACGGACTTTTTTCGTAAATGGAACATTTTTGTGTTAATGTTATTTCCAGTAAGGACGCCATCAGACGCGAACAGACATGCTTTATTGAGAGAGAAAAAAGGCTCCTAAAAGAAATAGTACATGTATCATTACACTGACAACTCCTGGTGATGGATTGATCGTGCAACCCGTAGGTGTGTACGTATGATAACATAGTATATACTCTATTGTCATTTGCTAACAAACGTATACTTACAGATTTAAAGTATTGCTTGAATTCTGTTTCATCAACTCTCAAGTCATCTGTTGATAATACAATACATGTTTTTAGCATCGCCAAAAATCAGTATACAAACGTCATATAATGACTCATGAATAATTACCATTATCATAATATACTAGAAATTATAGTTCATATAATATAGGATTAGTGTTTACTGAGTTAATGACACTTTTTATTATTAGTGTTGTCCAAAGACCAACATAAAATACAAGATAATTCGTGAATCTATATATGGTTCAAGACCCTGATGTCTCGACATTGCTCAAAGATAAAAGCGGATACGCTTGACCTTATTTAATCGGATGAACATGCTCGAAAATTATGTGTCAACATAATAAAATGGTAATGGATATAATTAATTTTACTGGCTGACAAATGAAATGAGCGCTTTCCAACCGGTGGGATGAACAATGTCACCTACTGTGGAAGGCTGTGATCAAAACGAGGAAATAATTACTACGGGGTCGTGTGTTATGGGGACTGTTTACTGTAGAAGGGAGTGTGTTATGAGATGGGACTACTTACTGTATGTAGGTCTATGTTATGAGAGGGGACTACTTATTGTATGATGGACTGTGTTATGGGAGGGGACTACTTACTGCAGGAGGGACTGTGTTGGGAGAGGGGACTACTTACTGTAGGAGGGACTGTGTTATGAGATGGGACTTCTTACTGTAGGAGGGACTGTGTTGTGAGATGGGACCTCTAACTGTAGGAGGTACTGTGTTATGAAATGGGACTACTTACTGTAGGAGGGACTGTCTTAAGGGATGGGACTACTTACTGTAGGAGGTACTGTGTTATGAGATGGGACTACTTACTGTAGGAGGGACTGTGTTGTGAGAATGGACTTCTAACTGTAGGAGGGTATATGTTATGAGAGGGGACTACTTACTGTAGGAGGAACTGTAATATGAGATGGGATTACTGATAAGAGGGACTGCGTTATGAGAGGGGACATCTTACTGTAGGAGGGACTGTGTTATTAGAGGGGACTACTCACTGTAGGCAGAGGAGAACTGTGTTATGAGATGGGACTACATGTACTGACTGTAGGAGGGACTGTGTTATTAGAGGGGACTACTCACTGTAGGCGGAGGGGGACTGTGTTATGAGATGGGACTACATGTACTGACTGTAGGAGGGACTGTGTTATGAGAGGGGACTACTTACTTAAGGTGGGAGTATGTTATGAGATGGGACTACTCATTGTAGGTGTGACTGTGTTTTGAGAGAGGACTATTTACTGTAGGAGAGACTGTGTTATTAGAAGGGACCTTCTCACTGTAGGAGGGACTGTGTTATAAGATGGGACTACTTACTGTATGAGGGACTGTGTTATGAGATGGGAATAATTACTATAACGAGGACTGTCTTATGAGAGCGGGCTACTTACTGCAGGACAGACTGTGTTATAAAATGGGACAACTTACTATAGCAAGGACTATGGTTTGAGAGGGGACTACTTACTGTAGGAGGGACTGTGTAATAAGATGGGACTACTTACTGGAGCAAGGACTGTGTTTTGAGATGGGACTACTTACTGTAGTAGGGACTGTGTAATGAGATGGGACTACTTACTATAGCAAGGACTGTGTTTTGAGAAGGGACTACTTACTGTAGAAGGACTGTGTGATGAGATGGGACTACTTACTGTAGCAAGGACTGCGTTTTGAGATGGGACTATTTACTGAAGGAGGGACTGTGTTATGAGATGGGACTATTTACTGTAGGAGGGACTGTGTTGAAAGAGGGGACTACTCACTGTAGGAGGGACTGTGTTATAAGAAGGGACTACTTACTGTAGGAGGGACTGTGTTATGAGAAGCGACTAATTCCTGTAGGAGGGACTGTGTTATTAGAAGGGACTACTTACTGTAGGAGGGACTGTGTTATGAGAAGGGACTACTTACTGTAGGAGGGACTGTGTTATTAGAAGGGACCTTCTCATAGTAGGAGGGACTATGTTATGAGATGGGATTACTTACTGTAGGAGGGACTGTGCTATTAGAAGGGACCTTCTCACAGTAGGAGGGAATGTGTTAAGAGATGGGACTATTTACTGTAGGAGGGACTGTGTTGTAAGATGAGACTATTTACTGTAGGAGGGGCTGTGTTATCAGATTGGACTATTTACTGTAGGAGGGACTGTGTTATAAGAGAGAACTACTTACTGTAGGAGGAACTGTGTTATCAGATTGGACTACTTACTGTAGTAGGGACTGTGTTATGAGATGGGACTACTTACTGTAGGAGGGACTGTGTTATTAGAAGGGACCTTCTCACAGTAGGAGGGACTATGTTATGAGATGGGATTACTTACTGTAGGAGGGACTGTGCTATTAGAAGGGACCTTCTATCTGTAGGAGGGAATGTGTTAAGAGATGGGACTATTTACTGTAGGAGGGACTGTGTTATAAGATGAGACTATTTACTGTAGGAGGGACTGTGTTATGAGATGGGACTATTTACTGTAGGAGGGACTGTGTTATAAGAGAGAACTACTTACTGTAGGAGGAACTGTGTTATCAGATTGGACTACTTACTGTAGGAGGGACTGTGCTAATAGAGGGGACTATTTACTGCAGGAGGGACTGTGTTATGAGAGCGGACTACTAACTGTAGGAGGGACTGTGTTATGACATTGGACTTGTCACTGTAGGTGGGACTGTGTTATGAGAAAGCATTACTTCTTTATGACGGGACTCATAACTCTTGGACTCATTCTATTATAAAAGGGAACTACTTTACGGACTATTTCATGAAAAGGCGCTACTAAGTATAGGATGGACTGTTTAATTTAGCTTGAAATACATGTACTTACATGTAATGTAGGAAGGACTGACGTCATTTATTCTGTTTTAGACTGTATATAAACCTGATGACGTCACTTACTGTTGATATCAATACGTGCATAGATGGTATCAAGGTCCTTCGAGTCAATCACACCGTCTTGGTTCGAGTCAAACTCGAGAAACAAGCCATACGCTATCGATCCCAAGTCAGGATCGTCTTTCAGAAAATGGGTATAGAATTCTAATCGTGTCACATGAGTATTGTCTGAAAGAGAAAAATAATACTAACAGGCATATATTTAAATGCACTTGCACCTGTGTTTTTGCTGTTGATACAAGATATCTAAATTGAAATGGTATTTTTTTTATTATAAAAAATAATAAATGTGTTTGGTAAAATGCTGCTTTATTCATTGTTTTATTAGATCATGGTATATACGTGTAACAGGTATATATATTAAAAGTCGTTATCTTTGATACAATAAATTAAGTTATCGTGGTTATTATATGAAATTTCGTCTTTTTGCTTTCCCACTCGCGAAAAGACACCAAGCGACAAAAAGAAAAGAAAACAACACCCAGAAGACGAAACCCACCAAAGCGAAAGACGAAAACCTATCACATCTTAATGTAAATAGCGACCGAAAAAGCCAAAAGGAAAGAGAAAGACGTTTTTTCGTCTTTTCGCTTTAAGTTAAGGTTATTTCCCTTTTGCAGGTTTTCGCCTTTTCGTTATTCGTTTTGTCACTTGTTGTATTTTCGCCGAGCGACAAAGCGAAAAGGTGAAATGTCATGTGTGAGCCACAATACACGCCTGATAATTAAGGACTAACTTGTATAATTTTTGCGGTTTATGAAAAGAGTACACTGCTTTTTTTATATTATGGCTCAATGACGTAAAGAAATCATTCAAGTTTACACTTATATTTTAATTTTGATATGAATTAAAAAAACGATTTATTATTTTCAAACATTTAATTTGATAAATCACGCATCGAATGAATCAATAGGCCGACGTCATAACGAAACTGTTTCCATCATCCAATCAAAACGCTTGTTACAGTTTTTTTGTCAGTTTTTTGTGTGTTATGAGCTGATAACATAAAAAAAATAAACCAATTGAAATGCTTGTTTCAAACAGAATTAAATTATGTTGTTTTAACATTAATTTTGTGGCTGATATATAACTGGTAATGTTATAGATACAGACATCTGTTATTAGGTAAGTCTTACTGTCGGTGTCGTACGAGTGGATGAAGGACTCGAGGTCGCTTCTGAGGAAGACGTGGTCGTCGTCGGTCTCGAGCTGGACCCACAGGTTATTTGTCGCGTTATCTATGTGGGACAGAAAGATCTGAACTGGGTCGTCGGAAGCCTGGCTCAGCCTGAGGAAAGACAGAGGATGAAGTTCTCGAAAAGTAATCGGACATAAAAATGTTTATCTAGCCATGGACCCCAAGGTAAGATGGGGAAAATAATAATAAAGATATATGTAAAAACTGGTTACGCATATTTTTTTTCCGAAGAGGACATGAAGATTAGTGTGATGTGGGGGTAACAAAATGTCTCTTGTTACATGATGTTTCAACGCTGACGTCGCGTTTTTCTCAGTAGATCATGTTTCACTATTAGAATACAGATTTGATATGTCTCATACAATATCACTCCCACTGGTATAGAAATGGTCCAATAAACAGACACGATATGTTAACATATAGAGTGCCAACACTTACCAGGCATCGTATACAGTTTAAACGCTAAACATGCGCTAAATTCTTACTGTTATAACGCTAAACAGGCGCTAAATACTTACATACTGCAACAAACAGGCACTCCATACAGTAGAACAGCTAACACACATTATTTGCGTGCATAAAGTATGGAAAAAACTGATGTGCGAATTTTGACATGAAGAGTTATAAAAACGCTTGTCTTTGTATGTTCACACCTTACAACGCCATTCTTTGCGAAGAAAATTTCAAAAGAAGTGTTTTAAGGAATACACATACTCATTAATGCTTGCAATGCAAGCGAAGGCAATACAAGAAAAAGGATATTAACACTACCTGTATCCATACACGAAAAGGACAAAAATCGGCAGATATCGGACGGAGAACATATTGCTATCGTCCTCGATGTCGAATTCCAAAAAGATCGACCTTCCCTGCTGATATGTCTTATCTTGAACAACGGAAGATAAGGACGGATAGAGAGTAAACGTTTAACTGTCACGAATTATCTAATTATATATAACAGGTGAAAGTAGGGATATTCCTTCGGTAACTGTGTACGATGTGATGTCCCGAAACCAGGGTTTTATCGCTATCTCCGGTTGGACCAAAGTGAAATAGGTTGTGGACTGGCTCAGAGTTGGGCTAGTGTTATATTCAGTTCTAACAAACATAAGTAGAACTCTGATGCCGCTTTTTAACACCTGTACTACAACATGCCAATGTTTAAAGTATTCTAGGCAACTTTTCGAGTTTTTTTGTCAAAAATCATTACTTTTTTTTCGACGTGCCAGGACGCCGTGTTAGAACTCTTATGCCGTTTTTAACACCTGTACTCCAACATTCACGTATGCCCATTTATTGTTATCCAATAACACATGGAATTCTGAACCAATGAAATGTGTTTTGTTACATCGCCGACGTGGTCAATTTACACGAAGTGACTGTCTCTCAGCAAACATAAGCAAATCGACAAATGTAGTAACACTTTAAGGTCAAAATTTGAAGAAATTCTACTGAGAAATGGTGACACAATCTTATTACCTTAAGGGATAATGTTTTGTACTTTTTTTCGTGTGGATACATACATGAACATGTCACATTTACAAACAATGCCTCAGTAATCATAAATAAAAATAAATACAAAAATAACATTCATTATGGCTTTAATAGATATACAATATATGACCGGATGTGTAAGAATCCTAAATGATGAATTATTCAAATGAGTAAATTTAATTTAATTTGTCCATACTATACTTTTAAACGTCATGCATGTATATATGTATGAACGAATAATTGAGAATCCCGTTCGAATGCGTAAATAGAACATTTTTATCTCCTTACTGTATACTTAGAAACATACTCATGATAAAATGTGACATGTATGTGAAAGTGACGATTTGTTTCTAAAATATCAGTTTGAAGGGGAACCCATACGCGGGTCGCTTATTTCCCGCATATTATAGAGGGCCGGAGTTCTGACATTAATCGACGACACCCCTTTAAAAAAAGTCGATAAAACGTCAGAATAATTCGGACTATACAGTGTACTGTACATAGTATTCACTGAACGAATAATGAAGCGAAACTTCCAACCGGAACCAACGTGAAGTTGCTTACTTATTCAATATTTGACAAGCTAAAAGTTGGGCTAGCTAAAAACAATGCACGTATAAAACTGAATTGCTAGTCCCTGTGCTTCCGGTCATTTGATGACGTTAAAACATTTGACCCCGATGACCTTATGTGGAAGTCGGAAAGATTACCAAAGGCAAAATAATATCAATTTCAGCTTCAGTGTTCATTAGAAAAAGTTGATTGTAGATTTTAATATATATATAGATATATATAATCGAAGGTTTGATAGTACTTTATTCCAAGCAAACTACAGTCTACTCTGGGCCGCACTGTTCATAAGGATATGTATGAATATTTAAATATAAATAATCTACGTAACCTAGAATTTAGGTCAATGTTATTTTGGAAGAATTAAGCATTTCATTCCGGCAAGCTACAAGCCAAATATATTCTCTTTGCATTGTGTTTGACAAGCATCTAAAAAATAAATAAATGTGATTAACATATTTAAACGGTTTGATTTCAAAACAGCGGTAATTCTGAAAATCGCATTTTGAAAGTCGAATTTTCCACAGTGGGAGAAAGAAAGCGGTCGCAAAAAGGAGCAGCTAGCCTTAACTTGAGCTGTTCTTTAAAACCCTCAACAAATTCCCCTTCTTATTACAATATTACAGTTATATCTGACGAACTTAGTCCCGAAGTCTGTTATACAATACAATAGTTTAAACGTATACCATGAATGTAACGAGCCATATGCTTGGTTAAATTACTGCAGGCCAATCCCACTAGCATGATTAATCGATTTAAAATTTAAGATAAACATTTGAACAAATTTGAAGACCACTCTTTCATGCCATTCTTATGTCGAATATCATTACACTGAGAATATATTTGCATTTTATTTTAGTTATGGTCAAACGAATTTAAAAGAAATCAAGAGAAGGTCATGGTCAACGACTGGTAATTTTCGAAAACAACATTTGATTCACGATTAATTGTTGTGGCGATTGGATCAGTGGCCTTGAGCCCGGTGTCCGGACAGTCCTCGGCCGCTTGACCCCGGTCTGTCTACGTATATATATATATATACAGTACACGCCATCGAGCTGGCCGGGACACGTAGATTAGAAAACTGTAAAAAATAGGGTCAAATTTCCGGTTGAGATAATTCTAATTAATACGAAAATTCAGAGAACTGTAAATGAGGAAACTTACGGAAGAGCTTGTTAATAAGAACACGATTGGCCTTTATGTACTATATGGAAGGCAAGCAAGTTTGAATCCGGGTCCAGCTCCTTGGTGCGGTTTTTCCACCAGAACACAACAATTGATTATATTTTGTTCATTTCATCATTATTGTTTCTCATAAAGTTCCCGGAAGGTATGGTTTTCTTTTCAGAAATGATTTATCAAAACTATCTGGACATGCCGGGAAACACATTTCTAATACCTTGTTACAATTTTGGGCAGCGGTACGAGTATCCTTAATTAATACGAGAAAGAAAAAGTTTTATAATGCAACCTTTTTATTCTCCAAAGCCCCCCAATAAGTTCGATTTACATTATATTTTCGTCCAAACAGCAACAAGGAATTATTTTGTTGATGTCGTCATATACACTACCGTGTTTACTAGTAATCGTACAGTGTACCAGGGTTCCACCACCGCAGGCGAAACGAACAAACAGGATTATGCGATTCAAAGTTGGGATAAACAGTTTAAGATAAATAGGAAATCAAAATTGATGACCTATCGTTTTAGTAAACCTCGAGTAAAATATGATTACACATCATTTCTCATAGGCAGATGCCGCTTGAAGAGTTTTACACTTTTGAACTCTCTTACATTTTTTTGGTATGACGTCATCAATATTTGTTGGCAACTTTCATTCATCCTGCATTCACCTTTGATAACACCCCCATTCAAATTACTAACCAATATAAGCACTAAGGCTTTATTCTTACTAACGACTGTAAATGGAGTGTTAATGTTGAATATATTGTCAGTAAAGTAACCAAATATATAGCAACCCTTCGTAAACTAAAACTTATTTTAAAAAGAAATACTTTAGAAAAAGTACATCTTACTTTGAAGTATGGGACAACTGCGGTGAAACAAATGCCTTGTTACTAGAAAAAATCCATTTAGAAGCTGCAAGAATAGTCACAGGGCTGCCCACATTCACAAAAAAAATATTTCTTATATCAAGAAACCGGATGGTTACCCCTTTCGAAAAGAAGAGATGCTCGGAAACTTTCCTTGTTTTATTCAATAGTAAATACCAAGGCACCCAAGTTTCTTACTGACTTATTACCAATGTATATTGGAAATATAGCGCCGTACAATTTGCGAAATGCACATTTACTGCGAGAACAGCACTTCCGTTTACAACAATCAAAATATTCTTTCTTTCCTTCCACATTAAAATTCTGGAACAACTTGACCAACACTGTAAGAAATTCACCCTCACTTAATTCTTTCAAGTCTAATGTCAAAACGTCTATGATAGTAAATAATTTGTTTAGCAAACATTTCGTAAACTATTGACCCAGAAATTTAAATATACTCTTTTGTCGTCTTAGAAATCGAGCTAGCTCATTAAATTATGATCTTTACAGAGCAAATCTAATAGGTTCAGCTGATTGGGCATCCCTGTGAAGATTGTTATCATTTTTTCCTTATTTGTCCTTTTTATCTAATTTACGAAGAACACTCATTACCGAATTAGAATGGTACGAAGGCGACATAAACGTAGATATTCTTTGTAAAGGTGACCCCAACATCTCACCAAATGATAATATGAAACTAGCCAAGGCTGCACAGCATTTCCTAGGAAGATCGGGCAGATCTGACTAACTATCAACCCCACCCCTTTCTCTCCAACCTCCGACCCTAGTTCTCTCTCTCTCTCTCTCTCTCTCTCTCTCTCTCTCTCTCTATCTCTCTCTCTCTCTCTCTCTCTCTCTCTCTCTCTCTCTCTCTAAAATATATTGTTGCTTTTCTGTATCAAGGATGTCACAATTATTATACTGAAGCATTAAGAAGTTTTCTCTTAATCTATGGTTCATTTTATCAGTATATACATGTAATTAATGTAAAGTGAAACTATTTATTATCCATTACAGAGATTTCAATCACGTATTATTAAGTTTTACGCATAGACTAATCAAACAAGAAATGACTAAATATGATGAATACAGAGAACTGAACTGTTCGGAGATAAAGGCTCTTCACACTTACTGAGAAAAAGGCTCTTCACACTTACTGAAGAAAAGGCTCTTCACACTTACTGAGGAAATGGCTCCTCACACTTACAGAGGAAAAGGAACTTCACACTTACTGAGGAAAAGGTTTTTCACATTTACATGTACTGAGGAAATGGCTACGGGTAAATACTACTGTACACTTACTGAGGAAATGGCTATGGAGAAATACTACTATACACTTACTGAGGAAAGGGCTATGGGGAACTACTACTGTACACTTACTGAGGAAATGGCTATGAGGAAAGACTACTGTACACTTACTGAGGAAACGGCTATGGTGAAATACTACTGTACACTTACTGAGGAAACGGCTATGGGGAAATACTAATGTACACTTACTGAGGAAATGGCTATGGAGAAATACTACTATACACTTACTGAGGAAAGGGCTATGGGGAACTACTACTGTACACTTACTGAGGAAATGGCTATGAGGGAATACTACTGTACACTTACTGAGGAAAGGCCTATGGGGAAATACTACTGTACACTTACTGAGGAAATGGCTATGAGGAAATACTACTGTACACTTACTGAGGAAAGGGCTATGGGGAACTACTACTGTACACTTACTAAGGAAATGGCTGTGGGGAAATATTACTGTACACTTACTGAGGATATGGCTATGAGGAAATACTACTGTACACTTACTGAGGAAATGGCTATGGAGAAATACTACTGTACACTTACTGAGGAAATGGCTATGGGGAAATACTACTGTACACTTACTGAGGAAATGGCTATGGGGAAATACTACTGTACACTTACTGAGGAAATGGCTATGGGGAAATACTACTGTACACTTACTGAGGAAATGGCTATGGGGAAATACTACTGTACACTTACTGAGGAAATGGCTATGGGGAAATACTACTGTACACTTACTGAGGAAATGGCTATGGGGAAATACTACTGTACACTTACTGAGGAAATGGCTATGGAGAAATACTACTGTACACTTACTGAGGAAATGGCTATGGGGAAATACTACTGTACACTTACTGAGGAAATGGCTATGGAGAAATACTACTGTACACTTACTGAGGAAATGGCTATGGGGAAATACTACTGTACACTTACTTAGGATATGGCTATGGGGAAATACTACTGTACACTTACAGAGGAAAGGGCTATGGGGAAGTACTACTGTACACTTACTGAGGAAATGGCTATGGGGAAATACTATTGTTTACCGGTAAATTTTCGCTGCAGTTTAACTTCCGCCTTTTTCGTCCTCCATGATGAGGACAAATTCAACATAGTAATTACATGTGGAGGGCAAATATAACACTGGGCGAATATAACACTTGGCAAATATAACACTGGGCGAATATAACACTGGGCGAATATAACACTGGGCAAATATAACACTGGGCGAATATAACACTGGGCAAATATAACACTGGGCGAATATAACACTGGGCGAATATAACACTGGGCGAATATAACACTGGGCGAATATAACACTGGGCAAATATAACACTGGGCGATTATAACACTGGGCGAATATAACACTGGGCAAATATAACACTTGGCAAATATAACACCGGGCGAATATAACAATGGGCGATAACACTGGGCGATTATAACACTTGGCGAATATAACACTGGGCGAATATAACACTGGGCGAATATAACACTGGGCAAATATAACACTGGGCGAATATAACACTGGGCAAATATAACACTGGGCGATTGTAACACTGGGCGATCATAACACTGGGCAAATTTAACACTGGGCGAATATAACACTTTGCGAATATAACACTGGGCGAATATAACACTGGGCGAATATAACACTGGACAAATATAACACTGGGCGAATATAACAAGGGGCTAATATAACACTGGGCGAATATAACACTGGACAAATATAACACTGGGCGAACATAACACTGGGCGAATATAACACTGGGCGAATATAACACTTTGCGAATATAACACTGGGCGAATATAACACTGGGCAAATATAACACTGGGCGAATACAACACTGGACGAATATAACACTGGGCGAATATAACCCTGGACAAATATAACACTGGGCGAATATAACCCTGGACAAATATAACACTTGGCGAATATAACACTAGGCGAATATAACACTGGGCGAATATAACACGGGGCAAATATAACACGGGGCGAATATAACACGGGGCGAATATAACACTGGACAAATATAACACTGGGCGAATATAACACCGGGCGAATATAACACGGGGCAAATATAACACTGGGCGAATATAACACTGGACAAATATAACACTGGGCGAACATAACACTGGGCGAATATAACACTGGGCGAATATAACACTTTGCGAATATAACACTGGGCGAATATAACACTGGGCAAATATAACACTGGGCGAATACAACACTGGACGAATATAACACTGGGCGAATATAACCCTGGACAAATATAACACTGGGCGAATATAACCCTGGACAAATATAACACTTGGCGAATATAACACTAGGCGAATATAACACTGGGCGAATATAACACGGGGCAAATATAACACGGGGCGAATATAACACTGGGCGAATATAACACTGGACAAATATAATACTGGGCGAATATAACACTGGGCAAATATAACACTGGGTGATAGTGCGGATCTGATGCCGACTTTATAGTGCTATCTCACTGAAATGCCATACCGAAGGCACCAAGCACAGCATTCCGCCCGGTCACATGTTACCATTCCCCTTAATTCTGAACGTTAAGCAGGGAATAACAACTACCATTTTTAAAGAAAAGTTGACGGACGGACGACGGACGATGGACCCATTGCCTTCCTCACCTGGGCGAACGCTCAACATTATGACCAAAAGTGAGGTGTTGCCAAGCAAGGCTCTAGGAAATAAAAGGTAGTTAGAAGTAGAAAGAAAGATAAAGATCCCAAATATTGCAATGGGCACAGCAGATTTATTTTGGTTGTTTTTGTGTCCCCAAATAGAGGACACCAAAGCAAATCCCCAATTCCGCAGGGGGTTCCAACATTAGTCGCCTCCTGCGATACATGCAGTGGGTAACATTAGGTGTATTCTTTCCCCTATCCCCCACCTGCAGGGGTGCCCTGCTACAGTCCCATGTGGTAGCTATGCAATAAAGGGGGGGGGGGGGGGGGAAAAAACTTTT